GTACACTCGGGGGGAAGCTAGTGTTGTCAAACAACTTTACCAACCTTTACCAATTTTGGAATTATCTCTTCCAAAAGGATGTGTGGTCTTTGGCAAAGGGTTTAGGGGTTGAAGGCCTTGAGGAGGATGACATATACATAAATTATATCCAATGGAAGATAGAGATAGTGAGGCCAAGTTCTCTAAAAGGAAGAAATATGGTGACCCATGAAGATTGCGACACTTAATGTTTGGGGGTTGGGAGATCTGTCAAAAAGGAGAAGAAACAAATCTATAATTTCTAGACAATATTTATATATTTGTTTGTAATAAGAAACCAAATGCACCACAATTAATAAAAAATTGATCAAAAGTGTGTGGGGTGAGACTAATTGTGAGTGGACTGCACAACCACATGATGGGCTTTTTAGAAGCTTGATTACAATTTGGAGAACACTAGGTTGTTCCATTTACGATTCAATTTTTTAGGGATTGGTTTTGTAGGAATCCGTGTTGAATTAACAGTTTGGATATTTGTGTTACATTATAAATGTTTATTTGTCATGCTCCTCATCAAGTAAACGTTTATTGTGGCAAAACTTGATCATGTCAAAAGAAAAGGTTTTGGGGGTAGTATATGGTGTGTTGCAGGTGACTTCAATGCAATTTCTTATAACAATGAAAAGAAAGGGACATATCCATATATTGACCAAAGGGATATGGAGGAATTTGGAAATTTCATAGAAGAAATGAATCTGATTGATGTTCCTTTTTTGGGTAAAAAATTCACGTGGTTTAAGATAGATGGTTGATGCATGAGTCGACTACATAGATTTCTGTTGACTGAGGATTCGATCTCTTATTGGAATATCTTAGCCTAATGGGTTAGAAACAGGGACATTTTTAACCATTATCTAGTGTGGTTGAAAAGCACTTCCTCAAATTGGGGACCTAAGCCGTTTTGCTTTAATAGTTGTTGGATTGAGCATAAAGAGTTCAATTCTTTTGTTATTCAATGTTGGAATGATCTCCAGGTAGATGGGTGGAGAATCTTTGCCTTCAAAGAAAATATAGAACTAATGAAGGAGAAGTTGAAATGTGGTGGAATCGTGAAGTTTTTAGAATCTTGGATCTAAAAATTGATAATTAAAAAAATATTGAGGAAATTAATTAACTTGATGACATGGTAGCTAATGGAACATTGATTGGTAATGAATGTATGAAACTTCTTTGCTCTTAATTCTGGTAGCAAGTTCACTTTAAAGAAAACTTGATACCACAAATATCAAAAGTCTAATGGATCCACAACTTTGATGCTAACCCTCAATTTTTTCACGCTTGCTTAGGGTGAAAATGTAGAAGGAACTGATTCTAACCCTTAAGTTAGGGGACGATTGGCTTGAGGAAATGGAGGATGTTAAACGTGAAGTAAGAAATCATTTCCAACATATATATATTTTCATAATTGGATGTTACACGACCTGTGTTGGGTGGAACTCAATTCCAACAATTATCTAGTGATGACAACAACACTCTTACTACCCCATTTAGTTTGGATGAAATTAAAGAGGCCATTTGGAGTTGAGGTTAACGAAAACCCAGGACTAGATGGATTTAATTTCAATTTCTGCAATAATTTTTGGGATTTGTTAAAACTAGGTATTTGTGAATTTATTGAAGAATTTTATCATAACATATCTCTTCCAAATGATGGTGAGACCTAGCTAAATCAATTAATTAGATTAAATGGAGAAAAACAAGCTTAATATATAAAATTTTTCCTTGGCACACCAAATACCAAATTGCTAGCTTTAGCTACACATTTTCTACTTGTTACCCCACTACTAAAACTAAAAATATGAAAATCTATGACCCTTAATACAAAGTCAAATGAAGTACAAGTCTTCACCTTTGAAGGTAAGTCCAAAGGTCTCTTCCTCTATTGGAGATCTCGAAGAAGCTTGATAAGTGTCAAGAAGCAAAAGATCTAGGAAGAAATTTGAAAGAGAAGCTTCAACAATACGGTTCCTCCTTAAGGTTTCCATCAGGTCCTCTTAACAAGTCCCTCATTCAAGTCACATCTATCCCTACACACGCATCTTATTGATGGTGTCATGTTAATAATATTGAGTGCTTATTCATCGTGGTTTTCCAATTCAATTCACAGGAAAGTTGAGAACGGTTATGAAACTAACTTTTGGAATAATCATTGGGTTAGGGAGATTTGCCTCAAGGAGGTCTTTCCCCAATTATATCAAGCGTCAATGGATAGAGAAAAAAATGTTACCGGAATGGATGTGACACTTCAACATTTGTGGTCTTGGAGGTGGAATTGGAAAAGGCCATTATTTGTATGGGAGCTAGAATTGGCCAATGAATTGTAGAACCTGTTGGCCCCAACAGTGGCCAACAGGACTATATGATAAAGTACCAGATATGTGACTTTGGTTAGAGAACATTTTAAAAAAATTACTACCAAATATGCTTATAACCTCTTACAATCTCAACAGATTCCAACAAGTGTCAATGATGTTGTTGATTTTGTGTATAGTCGCTTGTGTATATGCTTCGTTCTTTCAAAAGTTATAGCTTTTACTTGGCGACATCTATAAGATTCTTTGCCAATTAGAATTCAACTACAATATCATGGTATTATATCATATGTGCAAGGTACTTCTCATGTATTTTGTTTTTCTCATTATGAAGACTATAGTCATTTATTCTTTACTAGCTCTCTATCATATAAAATATGATTTGCTATTTATTTATGGTTGGGCTATGTTGGGGTTTTACATAATGATGGGTATCAACATTGTGTACACCACAACCTTTGTCTCTAAGGAAAACAATACTGGAGAGTAATTCACATTGTTTGGCACGCAGTGGTATGGGTCTTATGGTTGTTGAGAAATAAGATTATATTTCAAGGAGCTACTTTTTGATTTTATTGTACTACTACCTTAAATAAAAATTCTATCATGGGTTGTTTCATTAGTAAAGAGGACAAATGTTCAAGTAGAACATACCCTGATTAGTGTGTAAATCTAGACAACAGGGTGGGTCAGGTACGAGTTTCATGATACTCGTCCCCGTGCCTCAAACCCATCCCCATCCATGTCCTCGTACCTGTCGGATATGTAATTTTTGTTTCATCCCGGTCCCCATCGAGTATTGGGTATACCCGTATGCGTAAAAAATTAATTAATTATTTTTTACAAAAAAAATACACAATATTTTTAATTTATCTTTCTATTATATTACAATTGTAATTGAGTTGTTTGTCTATCTCATATTTTAATTAATAGACTTCTTAATAATTAAAAAATTTACAAATATTTCATATCATAATAAACAATCACATATAATTAAATATTAAAATTCTTTAAAACAATCAAATCGAGAACTGGTATTAAATCGGGGATGGGGACGAGGACGAGTATTAAATTGAGGATGAGAATGGGGACGGGGTTAGGGTAGGTAAGTATATACATGTCCTCGTCCCCGATTTAATATTTCATATTTACTCATATTTGGTCAAACTGGGTATTCTCCATCAGAGTTGGGACGGGTTCGAGTATTACCCACGAGTATAGATTTATTTGTCATCCCTATGTAAATCCCATAGAATGCTTGAGAAAATGACAACTTTATCATGACGAAAAGCAAATCCTAATGACTGCTTTAGTTGTTATGCTAATTCATTGCTATATGGAACATGGTTTGCTGGGTTGAAATAATATTTTTCAAATGCATGGACTAGACTTTGGTGTTGGAAAGTATAATGGGTGCTATGATGCAACAACTTCAAAATTGTTATGTGGTGTGTTGCACAATTCATTCAAGTTGATGGGGGAAAATAGATTGGATATAGAAGTTGTAGTCATCGTTTTGGAGCTCCAACCAAAGAGGACAAGTGTTAAGTTTTAGATCATATACTCTTACACATCTTGTATCTCTTCAATATATTTTTTTGATTATCAAAAAATAAAATGGCCATAATTCGTGAACACCCACTTTATATATATATATATATA